CAAACCAAGATTATTCTGTGCAGTAATATGCCCTAGTTTGGCTGCCGTTTGATATAATTCTGCGGCTTTCTGCTCATCTTTTTCTATTCCGAATCCATACTCATAACATAAAGCAAGATTATATTGGGCGCCAGCATGCCCTTTTTCAGCGGCTTCTTGATACAATTCAGCAGCCTTTTGCAGATCTTTTTCGATTACAATTCCAGCGTTATAGCATTTGGCGAGAACGTATTGTGCATCGATATTCCCTTGTTCAGCTGCCTTTCGATAGAATTTAACCGCCATTTGAAAATCTTGTTTCACACCGATTCCGTTCTGGTAGCACGCAGCGTAGTTATATTGTGCACTAGCATTTCCTTGTTCAGCGGCTTTTCCAAATAACTTGGCAGCCATTTCGTTATTTTTTTCTACTCCAAGTCCATTTTTATAACACAAACCAAGACTATTTTGTGCATTAGCATGTCCTTGTTCGGCTGCTTTTTGATACAACTCAACCGCTTTTTGATCATCCTTTTCTACGCTAATTTTATTTTCATAGCATAAAGCAAGATTATACTGTGCACTGGCATGCCCTTGCTTGGCTGCTTTTTGATACGATTCAATTATCTTCGAATCCTTCTTTTCTACTCCGGCTTCCTGGTCACTGATAATATTGAAATTTTCTTGTTCGACCACATTTTCGTTGGTATCCTCAACGTCGACTGCAATTCTATAGAAATTATCAAGGTAATACTTTGCAATAAAATGTCCTTGCTCGGCTGCCTTTTTATACAGTTCAATCGCCTTTTGATCATCTCGTTCTATTCCTATACCATTTTTATAACCTATAGCGAGATTGGTTTGCGCATCAGCATGTCCTTGATTGGCTGCTTTTTGAAACAATTCAGTCGCCTTTTGGTCATTTTTTTCTACTCCAATTCCATTCTTGTAACACATCCCAAGACTATTTTGTGCATCGGCATGACCTTGTTCGGCTGCTTTCTGATATAATTCCGCCGCCTTTTGATAATCAGTTTTTACTCCGGTTCCATTTTCATAGCATTTACCCAGATCATATTGAGCGGTAGCGTCTCCATTCTCAGCAGCTTTTTTATAGTGTCTTTTAGGTGAGTCTTGTTCTTTTTTATCCTTTCCATATTTATTCAAACAACGGAAACCAGTAATACGGGGTGTACGAGCCGAAACATATTTTTTGAACATCTTTCTAAAATGTATACAAGCAATCTAAACTTTTAATGATAGTGATTGCTGGGGCGCCGGTGTTTGTAAATGAATTGATCGGTGCATGGCAGGAAATAGCCTAAATTTAAACAAACTTTTCACGTCGTACTAGTAAAGTAATGCCAGTATCACCTTGTTTCCCTGCTTCGCAAGATAGCCTTCTCATAGGCTCCTTTTTATGATTCTATATAACGGAGTTATGTTATCACACAGCATGCATTGAAAAAGCGCACGACATTTGTGACACGCTTTAGACGTCAGCTAATAGGCCGACGTTCGTGTGTGCCGGAATTATGGTTGCGAAACGGTCCAATCCAATTGGTCCTTATTATTTGTTTCGCATGGGAACATCACCTTATCGTTATTGTTGGGCAAGCAGAAATTGCAATAATAATGTAAACAAATGCAACGAAAATGTCTAAGCATGTTGGTTGAATCGGTTGAATCAATACTCTACAAGAATCAATTTTAGAAAACTCGAATTATAATTTGTACGCATTATAAACTCATGGCGCGCCAAGAACGTTGCTATAAGTAGACTAAATTGGCGCAATGGATTTACTTTTTTTAGAAATCAATCCTCATTCACCCCCCATTTACATGACATATATGTACGACATGAAATTTGTTGGCTTACTTTCGCCCATTGTCATTATTTGTAGGGATGATTTATACATTGACCATGAAACCTTGAACTTCCTCTCTTGTTATTCATATACGACATGAAAGATATAATTACGAATGTCGTGATTGAAACCTTGACCAATCTCTTATTTCCTTTAAACGTTATATTAATTGTTTCAATTAATGGAGTTTCGAATATGCAAACTGTATGCTACGATTATGTTGTTGAAACGCTCTCACACGCCCAAAATATAGACTCATTTACTATTATTTATTTTCTTACTATTAATGACAAAGGCATCCTTATGTGAGTATAATTTCTTGTAATGAACTTGACACAACCAACGTCATGCTTTTTCGTATTTATGAACTTGTTAAGTTTGCTTTATCATACGCTTGTTTATTTACAAGTTTGTGAATACAATCGTTCTTTCTTGCAACCATTATTATGTCTTGGTAGCAAAGTTTTTTGTAAGGCTTTTCTTTATCTAAGCCATAACGAGGATCGGAATAACAACGATCGTATGTTACACAAACAAACAAAAGGGACATTGTTTCGGGAGGCGTTCATTTCATTTCCCGACAATCATTTCCCCGACAAATATTCCCAACGTGTTATTTCGAAGCTATCCTTTTTCGGTAGTTAAATGAACCGGACCTCATTGTTTCAGTCACTTATAAGGCAAACATCGAACTAAACATTGTAGATTTATTCAATATCGATAAGAAAATTTTTCAAGTCGTGAAACTCAGGGGTGCATGCGTGCTGCATTCGAGCATCAATACTTGCTTTGCTCGTTGTCATGATTCAGTATCCACCAAATAGAATAGACGTAATCGAGTATTCGTATGTCTCGTCTATGTTTGTAACAACTGACTTTTAGAAATTGTTGCCTACTACTACGATTTAAGATATAAATTTTCAAGCCTTAAAGTAAATTTAATTTTGGGCCTTAAATAAATTGACTTGCGATAATTTTTCGAAACTGGATTTAAGCCATTAATAGAGAATGATTTTGTTAGGTCCAAAATCATATTGCTATGCTGCAAGCTTGCTAAGGGGAAAAAGCAAATTTAATACTAAAATGCTTGTGTAGTATGAGGAGAATTGCCATTAATATTGTGACAAAAATACCAACAAATTGATATCGAGTCTCTTTTATTACGATTTGGACTTATAACTTTAGCATTATGTGTCTTGTTTCTATTTTTATAGACATAATAATAATAAAATTATTAATCGACCGAACTAATCGCTGTTGTTTATGCAGCCTACAAGTTGGGGTATACTTGTATCTACCTAAAATGCATTTCCAATTAGGCGAATAACAATTGTGATGCTACGAGAATATCATACGGGACAAGAGGCGCATGTTCCTAATCGATATAGGAATTAGTGATTCGCAACTATATCGAATAATTTACTAGTTAATAATATATTTCAAAATATAAAAACTTCTCGTTTATTATTAGAAATTTGAACATTAAAAGAACAAGAACATTTACAGTGTTCTATTTTTAACAGCGTATGCTGCTGCCTTTCCCACTAATTACTAATATTAATATCATGTACGCGGTTGTGATAATATTGATGACATAGAAATTACGTCATCGTTAATATTGGGTGCCAAAATTTTTGGTTTTCCCTTTGATTGCTTAGGAAAAGCTCCTATAGAATATTATATATTACTTTTATAATAAACAGTTTTAAGGAAAAAATGAGATACTCCTGCATACACTGTATTTAGGTATTGGGTATTAAGTTTCTTTATCGTAATAATTATATGCTACGCTGTGTGCTCATATCAGAATTGTTGTTAAGAAACTTATGCTAGTTTTAGTGAGGTATCCGTATCACCGACAGTACATTTCACCGACAATTAACACCAAAAAAGGATAATTTCGAAATAATATTGGTGAATAATTGTCGGTGAAATAACTGTCGGCGAAATAATTGTCGGTGAAATAATTGTCGGTGAAATGATTGTCGATGAAATGATTGTCGATGAAATAATTGTCGATGAAATAATTGCCTCCCTAAGAAAAGGATAAAATATAAGGACATACTACTCGCTTGTTACAATGACGCCAAATACATAGAACATTTTATGCTTCTTACGGTAAAAATAAGGTCTAAGACGCAGGTATTCTTCTATTATTGATGACAGTCAACTCTGTTTATACCAGACGGGTTGGCATAGCTCTCTGGAACCGGTATATGGAAAGCTTATAAAAGACCGGTATAAACAAAGAATTTTTGTATGAAACGAATGGTGCGCAAGAATCAGTCCGTCCGGTATATACATTTCCGGTATATACATTTCAACAGAGTTGACTGTATTATACACACACGTCACATCAATCAACATATTTGCGAGTCCCGCTTTTTATCGATCGGGATAATAGTAGGTAAAATGTTAGATCAACTATCATTGTGCAAAACCATAAACATTTACTGTACGTGTATGGCAAGAGAAACTTTGGACATGTACACATTTTCTTCCCATAAAAATTACCAACTCCAAATTGTAAAATAAGAACAATATAAAGCGCTTAATATTAATAGAGAAAACAAGCTTGTCTAATTATTATAATAAAAAAATACCAATCACGCCGTAGTTAGAAATAATATTTATGGGTTCCCGTGATTTTTAGAACGCGCCTCTTATATGTTCAAAGGCGGCGAAAATAATTTCTGTACTTTTCTACTATTTAATTGTTCTTGTAAACAACGTTATTTGGATCAATTACTCGTTTTTAAACAAATGAGCAAGAAGCAAGTCTTATTCTAAGTGGTTGATCGCGTTGAATCTTCACGGATACCTGCAGACACACTTCGTCTATGCCATAAAGCGTTAGTTATCTCTGCAAGCCACTTGTTTAAATTAATAATTCATTAATGACGCTATTGTTATTTCCCTAATCATTGTTGAGACCTTTTCGGAGCATAATTTTCTTATCGATCCGAAAGTCCGAAAATGGCGGACAGTTTAACCGAGTCTATCAAAGTTGACGCGTATTTTAGACTCGATATAAGAAGACACAATTTCGGCAATACACGCTTTGTCTTTTCTCCTTAACCTGATCACTTGAACTGTCATAGTTTCTTCGCCAGTCTTAAAACAACAACAATATCGCTTAACCGTATTTGCCAAATGTCAGACACAAACATCGACAACGACGCAATTCATCCTGTATGCGCAACACTTGCCACCATTATTCGCGAAATTTTCAACAGTGGTCATGCATCACTTACTATTATTCTTCAGCCAAAGCTCCAGATTCACGTAGAAAACGTCCAGTTTGATCTCTCTATCAGCAATAATGGAGACTACGAAATGTCTCTTACCAAAGACGTCCCAAAAGATAACGATGACAAGGAATTGTCCGTTGTCCCCATCTATTTACAAAGGAATCCATCAAAACGCGTCGCGACATCAAGTGTTCGAAAATTCAACGTATCCAAGTTTTATCGTAACCGACGCTACTCTTACGTTGAACCAGACCTTAGTTTCTTAACTGATGAACAACGTCAAGAACTTTATAATTTACTTGAAGATGTTGCAGCTGGACAGTCTAATAAACCAAAATACCACGTTCCTAACAACATCGACGCAACCAAGCTGAAAGGCTGGATTCGCAATAATTCCTTATCGCTTCATAACAATAACAAGACGTCATCTCAGAGATTCTGGGCTGCTTATCGATTGGGGATGATATTCTTCTTCCTCAAGTCTAAACAGAAGCTGGTGAATAGTACCGAGCAAGCCGAAGTATTGGGATACGAAATGAATAGGTTGTTTATGGAAAAGAAGCAAGTGTTTCGTATTTGTGAAGTGTTTATGATATTGGGCGGAAAGGCTCTTCAAAAAGTTAAAGCGTTTCATGTGGCTGATTTCCTAATGTGGTCTGAATGGCAATATCAAGCTTTACTGGACTACATTAGAGCTATTAAAAATGGATGGATTAAACTGAGGTAAAATAAAGACGTGGGCACAGTAAGTAATAATGTAAGCTGTAAGGTAAGACCAGTGTTAATGACAATAACGGTTTATAGCAAATGGTGTTCGTTATAGTAATAGGTCTGCCAAAGTTTATGGCTTGGCTAGAAGTTAAAATAATATAATATTCTCGACGCATACTTTTAATCTTTTAGTTAATTGTCTCAATTAATATTCTTCTGCATTGCGAATTAGTGCCATAATAAATATTATTATTCTATAAGTCGCTATCAGTATAATCTTCCAAATTAGATTCACTTGAATAACGAGATCCATGAGTCATTTGATGATGGGATAACAATCTACCAAAAAAGCAATTGCCTGTTAGATGACGATCCTTCGACAGCAAAGAATATCAAGCAAGACTAAACCAAATTTCTAACGCCACCTGATATGGAAATGCATCCGGTTTTGTGATGGGTGGAATATGATCTTTTTTTTCGTTGACATAACGAATTATTTCCAATAGACAGTTGGAAAGCGTTTCGACTACTTTTTTACGGATATTTCTTTGATCTATGAAGGTATAAGTAAATCGCACGCAGTGTAAACTGTCAATTTCATTATACACTTGCATAGAAACATTCCGAGGTTATCTTACCCACTTCAGTCCTATATACAACAGATATTGTCACAGCCCATCGCTCCCAACACACTTCCTCCTCGGCCTTTGCAGTAAACCAGGAGGAATTTTTCTTTGGTCGTTTTTCATGAAACATGACTGCAATCTAAAATTATAGAACCAAAGAAAAGGCAGATTACGCTGTTCATTAACCTGAAGTACGCTATTAATTAATGATCAAACTTCCAATACGTATATACTCATTTGTCCTATTACCAACCTGCCCCTTCTGTCCACCCTGACTTTCAAGATGTTTAACAAATTCTTGCACCTTCTCTTCCACATTTCTTTCTAATTCTGCATCGTCTATTGCTGGCTGCAGAGGAACTGGCGTCAGTTGTTTTGTCAGAAATGTGTATATGGCTAGAGAATCATACTTACGTATGTTAGGTCAAGCAAGTTAACTTCTCGAGGTCTTATGTTTCCAAAGATTCGATAAAAAAGTATCGTATGTAGTATGGCTTTTGATAATGGAGGAAATCAAGTGAGCAGCAGAGAAGCGCAGCAGAGTGTCAGCAGCTGAATTGATCAAAACAAACCTCTTACGATATCCTTGACAAGTGATTTATCTACAGTCTTCAATTCTTTGTAAGTATGGCCCTTTCCTCTCGAAAAAATTTTGATTAAAAGTTGTAAATTCAAATTCCACTCACCAGATTGATATCAAAGACTTCGGGTGCCATTTCTACACACGAAAAGAAAGTCAAGTTTTCGGTTGATCCGTAGCAATATTAATGTCAGTTCTTGTACTACGAGTCAAGAATCAAGTCATTTGAACGCCAACACATCAGAGTTGCGTCATGTCGTGTGACAGCAGACTTACGTTTGTTCCGGCAATTTTTTTCACGCGCTCTGGATTTTATTATAACATAATTCTATTTATAACATGTGAAAACCAGTAATAACATTAAGATCAATTGTTTACATTCCTTGATAATGATAAGTTTTAATACCAAATAATACTAGATCAACAGACATTTATGAAATCTTCTACAGGATGCTTTAAAATATATTATTGAACCAAATATTATGAGTTTCTGTTGAGATAACCGAAAAGAAAAGTTTAACAGAATCTTCTTCAAGATCTTCATCTAAAAGCTTCTTACTGTATGGGGGAAAGGCCATTTCTCAAAATTGAAATTTGCATGCCACACTCCAAGAGATTATGTAGTTTGACGTTTTTATTGATGACTCCAAAATTATACAGAATACCTCGGACTCAACAAGCTTACACACCATCAACACACTCTCTCTTCCGATTGTTCATAAGTATCCATTATTGATCACGCCCCTCTAAATACAAAATATTCAGCATTATGCACAGAAATTAACGTTCGCAAAGACAATCGTTCTAATCATCTAATGATCTTTTCGATTTTGAAATTCGCATTACCATAAAACTTCTCCAAGAACCCCGCCGGCTTTGGTCCAGCTTCTTCTTTCTCGAAATAATTCAATAGATGCGTGCTAAACTTCCACAGGTTCAATGTTTCCTGATACTCTGTTCGCCCTTTAAACAGCAGTATGTCAATCAGCCGTAGGTCATTTACATATCTATGTTTTTCAAATTCTTCCCGGATCTTTGCTCTAACTGCAGATGTCGGAATGTCGAGGTGGTATTCTGTTATTATCGTTGGGGCCTAGGAAGACATACGAATGAGCTAAGGTGGAGACGAAGTGACAGTGACAAGTATAGCATTCAACCGATTCTGAAATCGTGTCTCGTACCGCTCGTTGCCAGTCTCTGTAGAGCGCCAACACTTTCTGACGAGCATTCTGATACGTGCCAGATGTGGCTGTTACAGTTGCAAGCCGTGCTGGTGTAATAGTCATACTGGAAATAAAAAGGACAAACGAGAGCGTTTATAAGATTGCTACATATTAACAATTTGGGGGGCATTTCACAAGTTTTCAGGGGCCAAAATAAAACTCCCACAATAGACAATCTAACAACCATGACGTTCTGTACATTCCACTTCCACTAGTCAATATTAATATTAATCCTGGTCAGCTCTTAGGATAACGTTTGAAAATGTCTTTACCAAACAAAATCAGCTGAGCATTTCAAATTTTAATCATGAATAGAAACATACATTATACGTGCGTGTAATCCGTTCAACCATTATTGATTAATGACTTATACATGGTTTATTCAATAAAGCATTTATTCTACGATAAATTAATTACTCTATCCGTTCACATATTTTTCCAGCTCATCCCATTCATCTTTGTTCAAAGCCACTGTTCCATAATGATTTCTTAACTGCGGAAGTACGGCTCGTAATTCGTTTATTTCATCCGGACTGAGTGACTTGTTAGAGTGTCTAAATATGCCAATTACTGTTTGGAGTATCTGTTGAATAGAAATAAGAGTTAAGTAAAGGAGCATAATGATACGCATACGTTGAATGCAGTAACTTTCGTACTTTATCAGCAAGATCTTCATCTTGAGGACCATAAACTTTGAGTAAGTGAATCAGCTGTCTTGCAAGCCCTTTCTCCTCAATCCTAGTAGCCACCATCTTGGGATCTTGGCCCAGTAAAGTGTTGAAGAGGAAAGCCACCTTTCTGAGAATCGACAAATCTTTGGGTGGTAAGATTGTCTGTTAGTGAATTTCCCTTACTATGTAATACATACTCGATGCATTCGTACCATTAGATGTATTCAGCAAGTTTAATAATATTTCGTATCCGCCTTCCTCCTCGAATTGGGCTAGGCCTGGTGGATAATTTTTTATAGCCCCTACACAGACATAAAGTCAGTCGTTTATAAATAATATTAAATCATTCCAATGTTTATTACCTGATACAGCATATAATGCTTTGCTTCTAACCTCAACCTCTTCCTCGGGATTTTTCAGTGTATCAAGTAATCGCTTGAGCCCACCATTGTCTACAAACTGGGAGGAAAATAGAATGTTAGCCGGGTTAACAAATCATTTTGAATTAATTCCCACGTTACTCACAGCCTTCTGAGCTCGCGGGTTATTCTGCACGGCTGTACCACACACCCAGGCGGTATATAATCGCAGGGATTTCTCCTTAAAGTCAAAGAATGATAGAATTTTGGGCCATAGATTCATGTTACCAATATCTACAAAACAACAAATTGTCATTTAAATGTCACATATGTGAACATGAGATAATGGTATACATTCATATCGAACTTACCAATTGCATTATCTATTTGTTCGACTAGCTACGCAATGAGAAAAGACAAAGAAAGCAGACGTTTAGGAAAGACGGTATGCACATTACATCGACGAATTGCAAGATAATAGCTTTTACCATCTCTAAATTATCAAAAGCAATCTCTTTATTAGCTAATGATTCATTTGGGTCCGAAATACAATCGACTGCATCTGTAACAGATAATTACATAAGTAAACTACTCATTATCATGGTGGATTAACCAAATGGCTCATCTTACTTCTAATTTCGGTAGCTTCGCCTTTGCCAAGGATTGCATCGATAATGTCAGTGTCCTACACGTTTAACAGATAACTTAATAACCTAACATTGGGCATTAACAAGAAATTTTGTTATTCACGAGATACGAATGAACACGTTTGTCCATAGATCATACATACAAGCTTTCGTTCCTGTCCTTCATTTTGCGTGGGGTCCTTTTTATTAGAAGGGTCGGAGTGCGTAACTCCCCATGCCAGTAATTTCTCCATGTTTGATGATATTTTGTACAGTACACAATCTTTAAAAAACAGAAGGCGCAAACTATGGACTTTTATATCTTACGCAGACTAAATCTGGTGAGTTCTGGAATGATCTTTTAGTTTACACCATCAAAATTAGTTAATAGATAAGATCGACGCCATGTGACAATCACTGGACAACCTTGTTCTTTTTTGGTAATCTTAAAACGAGAAAGAGACTTTTGTATATTTTTACAATTATTTCTACAATGGACAAAATGACTAATATCGAGCAATCTCGGGAAGAGTAAGTATGAGATCAGATTAATTGATTTCGTTTATAACATGCCCATGGTCTATACTGACAGTTATATATAGCTCAACTACAGATTCATTAGACGTTCCTAACGAAGAAGGTGAAGAAGCAGGAGAAAATGATGAGCATTATGAAGAGGATGTTCAGGCTTTAAATGAATTCGAAACTTTACTTGAATCAAAATCAATGGGGGATATTAGTGGAACGAAAACCGGATTGGTGAGAAGCATTTGTAAGATACTTAGCATTACAGATTATGAAGTTGATTGGTAATCTTTCGGTAGACATTTCAAGTATTATATGACCTGATCGAAGAAATTACTACGGATGTAATCATTGAGACACACAAGGAGGCAAAATTAGCGGCAATGGCATGTCAGAAATGCGGAGTAAAGTAAGTTGTGATAACAGACGGCTTATTGCGATGTTTACTTACTTATTATGATTTATCATGTCTTCCAAAATTTGATCTCATTAGTTGTCGATGCTATGGCAAGTACTGATGCTGAACCCATGTTATCTTAATTCGCTTGTCTGAACACTCCATTGACCATTACTGTCTGCAGTCACTCCACCAGGTGTAGATATCTTCGGTAATAATCCGCAACCAGCTTCCAATACGCCCGTGTACGAGTGCGTCAATTGTCACAGACCATACCCATCTGCTCGATATGCGCCACATTTGGAGAAGTGTATGGGATTGGCTGGGAGAATATCCAGTAGAGTAGCTAGCAGAAGGTATGTCATATGTACATGTGATATAATATATCATGTGATGAACAGAAATTATATTCCAAAGTATATAATAAAGTATGCAAAATAATGGAATCGATAATAATTACAGAATTGGGGCCGACAAGAGTCCAGCTTCTCCATCAACTCCGCTTACACATTCAGAAGACAATGCCAATTACAGTGAATCTGATTCAAGTTACGTTGATAAAAAACGTAAGTAATTTTTACAAGTGTCATTACATATCATTTGAGTATGCTTCATCTAACACTCACGTGTTGATAACTCAATTGCAGGAAAGAGAGTGAATGGGAGATCAAGGGTAACTTACTATTTGCTATTATATGTTGATACCAATGGTAACTGATAAGCCTTTGTGGTTTACTATAGGCCTCATCACCGGCGAGATTTGGAAAGACAAAGCAGAAAAAATCAAATGGTAGATACCATTGTCTTGTATACTTTGAACATGAACTTTTCAATAACAACTAAATGTCGTTTGTTGTTTATCTGCGTCTTTATATTTAGCGACGGACGCTAGCAGTCAATCAGGGTTATATGGAAGCGTAATGAAGAAAGTAAGTTTCATTATTTTGTTGACTGAAATCTTTACAAGTCCCCGAGGCTCGGACTCTTACTCTATATTTAACTTGTTGTAATAGCTGAAATGTAAACCATCGATTCACCAAATCTTCGGCCACATTGTTTTTATTCTGTAATTATCTTTTGACATCTTTAATGTTACACAGTGCTCAGTTCAAAGAGGGCCTCTTCAGCATCCACTAGTCCTGCACATTCCTCAGCGGCAAGCAGCCCACCCCATGGACCATCGACTTTACGATATTCGATTTCCCTTCCACTTGAGAGTGCGCTAGAGAAAACTTCCTTGTCATATGGGGGCCTTGACTTGGATGAGACACTTGGGTATGCAGCCACCAATTAAGATGGATCTGTATCAATTGCTAGTGAATGATGCTAATCATTCTGATGACAAATCGTTTCTTTCATCAGAAACCCAATAACGAACGAGAATTTTGACGAGTCGATAATATCATCACCAGCAACTACAACTACACAATCATCTATGGCTGACAATGAGGATATTATTGATATTGATGGTGACGATGATACACAACAGGCCTCGAATAGAAGATATAGATATACAAACGCTATGCTTAACAATTCTGAAAATCACAAGCACTAGAACTAATGCATTGTAACATTAATACCATAGAATGATAATAATACCAACTAGATACGGAAATAAGCATGTCAACAATACACTACAACATACTAAAATAGATTTAAATTACAGAGTTTATGCTAAATTTAAGTATAGTAGAACAATCAATTCGTTTGTCGTCATTTAATTTCCAATTAATCATGTGACCACTTATGCCTGTTATTAGATTTATTAAATAATCTATATAAGTACTTTTACAAGAACATTGTTCGAGTCTCATGCTCTCGCAAGTAATCTCAACGCTAACTCTTCTTGGTCTTCAAGCGTCTCAGGCTCTTCGATTTCAACCATCTTCTGCCTTTTTCGTGGATTCCTATTTGTACGTCTCTCTTTATCTGTATCACTATTGCTACTCTCATCGCTATTCCCATGAATGTCATTATCAAATGTTCTTTTTAACCTCTTATTATGATTCACCTCGTCCATCTCATGTTCTACAGATTCGTCACTCTCCAATTCACCCATTGTAGCGTCTTCGTCACCCGTAGCTAGAGCAACGGCATCGCTCTCGGCCAATGCAGTCTTGGTTTTCGCTTTTTTCTTTAACTTTTTTTCTTTTCGTTTTTCTTTGGCTAGCAATCTGTCTTTAATATCTTCATTTTTCATTACTTGTAGCTCCTTTTCGACAAAGACCTTTATTTGCTCGTTAGGTGATCCAATGGCACGAAAATCTTGCTCATTTTGGAGTTCATAAACGTCATGCGGCTATGATATATAGTTATGGGTTAAAGTAGTGATAATGGGAACCTATACCGTGAAAAATCAAATTAAAACATCTTACATCGCCACTGTCATCAAATATTATTTTACGTCCTCGCGGAACGTTCTTAATTGACTGTTTTTTAGAAAGAGCTCGTGCTGCGGCACGCTTTGATTGCGGGCCTTTGTTCTATAGTCGGGTAAAAAACAGTTAATAATGCTGTACTTCATAGACATTAACGGGACGGACACTACTCACATCTACCAACAATTCGTCAGGTAATTCGTGATCAACTCTTTTCACAGAAAGAACGTCGTCTCCTCCACCCTCCTCATTCTCCAGTTCAACGAGTTTCCGATAGTGTTCACTTAATACGTTTTGATTCTTACGCCTCATCATCCTATCAAACTTTGTCAACGGTTTTGATTGTTGCTTTTTATCTTTCTCGTCGTCAGAAGATGATTCATTACCATCAGCAACAGTATGGCTATGTTTCGCCAAAGTGTCAACTTCACTGTCCGAATCTAAACCAGGAATTTTTTCCGGTTTTTGCCGGATGGCATTCTTGGCGTCCGACTTCTATAGAGTATAAGACAATTAGACTACTATGAATATTGGATGACAGACAATCTCAGGTTGGCAAGGCTCCGACTTACTTTGTAGAATTTTAGTCTAGGAGTGCCAGGTAATCCTAGAGCTGCAGCAAATTCTTCTGCTGGCAATTCATTTACTTTGAAGATTGATTTATCTCGCTGCAAATATACAGACCTCATATATGATACAAAGGCCTACGAAGCAAAGCGAAAGATCAATTCGACATGTTTCGGTCTCTTTCCCTCTGTCTTCCACATCCATTTTCTTCTTTCATGCTCAAACCACTCACCTTTTGTCCAAGATACTTAATCTCCGGATTCTTAAAGCATAAAACCTGCATCTGCTGTGCCACACTGGTTTTCATTTTTTCTCTGACCTCAATTTCCTCAATCGGCACCTTTTTCTGCATCAACACTTTCAACATACCCTCCACTTCCGACGGCAACAGAAACAGCAACGCCTGTCCTGATGCATCATATCTAGCCGTCCTCCCTACGCGATGTATATAAGTTTCCCCATTCTCCGGAGCATCGACCTGAATTACCCAGTCGACTGCTGGAAAGTCCAGACCACGTGATGTAATGTCGGTAGAAAATAAACAAGAACTAGACCGCATGAATCGATTGAAAATTTCTACTCTTTTGGACTGCTTTTGTTTCCCATGAAGATGGAGAAGCGATATGCCTGGACGAAGTTTACGGAAAGTTTCGTACACAAAGCGGACCTTTATTGTAAAGAGCATAGTTAACAAACTGCGGTAAAAAAAAACAAAAAACATTTAGATCGTAAAGACGTTGGACATGCCTGCTTGCAACTAGACAGAAATACGAGAATTTTTGCATCAAGATGCGTCTTTATGAACGAAAAAAGGAAATCCAGCTTTTCTGGTAATTCGCATACTAAATAATGTTGTTTTAAACGTTTAGGTGTTGCGTGCTCGGATAATTCATCCACTGAGACATACTCCGGATCCTAATAAATCGATTGCCTTATTAAATTAATCCTTCCAATATTAGTCTCAATACAAACATAATTTACAATAGCCTTACAATCAGACTGAGCCTAGCGAGATCTTTGACATCTTTGGTTTGGGTGGCAGAAAATAATAATGTCTGTCTTTCTTTTGGTAAATTTTCTATAATAGCATTGACAGTCTTGCGAAATCCCATATCCAGAATCCTATCTGCCTCGTCCAAAACTTGCAAATAAACCATTTAAATGAATAATTTTCCAAGTTATATGATTGAAAATCTTTACTTTTATCAAGTACTTACCTAACATTTGCAAATTAGCGCAATCAAACCCAACAGTCTGGTCCATGTGCTGTAATAATCGTCCGGGAGTACATATCAAGATATTCATTCGTTGTATCCGTTCCTGCTCGATTTGCACATTTTTGCCACCAATTATCAAACCAGCAGAAAATGAATGTTGGCAACCGACTTTACGAAGCACCTCAAAGATTTGAACTGCCTGTACCAATGAAATAGTAAGCCTAATGCGAAGAAGAGATAGAATCGGTCATCGAACGGATTAAGATATTGGCAATACCAACTCGCGAGTAGGAGCAATGACCAAAGCTCCTAAACCATCAAGTTGAGACCAGCGACGGCGGTAAAGGATTTCAAGAATCTAAACATTAAGCGTAATTAGCAGGGTCGATCAATACGCTAATCCGATGCTGATTGTTTTGGATCCCTTACAGGAATGAGAAAAGCCAATGTCTTTCCACTGCCTGTCTTGGCAGCTCCCAAAACGTCGCGTTCCTTTAGTGCGAGAGGAATAGCATGCTGCTGTATCCTAGTCAGGTCAGTGTAATTTGCCTTGGTGAGACCTCGCAAAGTCTGTTCCGTGATTGGTAATTCTGAAAACTTTATTATTTCTTCTTCGAGTGACTATATTGAATTACAATTGGTAAGACATTCTCAAGCAACGAAATGGCATCACATATGCATACCAGAGCTTGACATCGATCTTCTAATTCCTCAATTTCTTTTAATTCTTTTTGTAGCCGCCCTTTTGGTGAGCGCAACTTTACTTTAGGCATGCTTGTCTTTATAACAACAGACATTTTTAAAATATATTTTTGATTTTCACACACGTGATAGCCATCTAAAAATCTCGTGACCAAAAATCCTTTATTGTATTAGAATACACAGTAAATATCGACTTGTGAGTTTATACCAGATATTATTTAGTAAATCCCGTTTCAGAGAAAAAGGCCGTCATATCGACTTTCGGTGTAAAAAGTAATAAAAATGAATCACAGAATAATTACTCCGTTTCCGACTCCTTGTTGCTAACCAACTCTTCTCCTTCATTCTCTGTCCATTTTTCTTCCTCCCATTCATCTTCCCACTATCAGATATCCAAATAATGTTCCCCAACCACCAATGACAATGACTCCCTTCTCCAAAGATTGATCCCGTGTTTATTGTTTATATTTCCAAATACTCGTTTGGCAATGGGAAGAACGAAAGACAGTATGCCAGATCACCTTCAGGCTGTTATAGCAGCCGGGGGAGCCAACCAAATACTAGCTTATTAATAGAGATTGTAGAGTTAAAATAAAGTAGTATTATTGATATGTTTAAGCGAAAAGCGTACGGAAACTTTTGTCCCCACTCTATATCTCTCTATTAATTGGAAACGCAAGCGTGATGAATCGGTGGCGGATAAGGCCTTCCAAATTGTTATTTGCAACAAACCTAGAATCAGCATTCATTCGCAAACGCCAGCTGTCTTAGATTGGATTGAGGAATTGGGACTTTAGAAAAGTGAGTAGGTAGAGTATTTGGTCGACTCGTTTGGCTTTCAAAAAGGCGGGGACGTTAAATACTAATGTAAAAATATGGGGTTTTCCAATTTTATAATACATATTAATCTCAAGCATCTTTTTTCGCAAAATAAAGCAAGCATGTATTACATATGATTTTCAGTCGACGATAGTAATGATATCAGATTTGAGCTCGGGAACATGTTGTGCTGATACGTTAGACTTTTGTGAATACCAATGTTAGACTTTTGATTGATGTCGAGGGTATAACCAAAATGACGACAATTTTTGTTGTGATCTGATCGTTCCGTTAGTTTACACCACGACAGTGTAAATAAATTTTTATCATATATTTCAAGCATTGATAGAATGCCATAAATATCCGAGTGTACATTTAACTATCAGTTTTTCCTTCTATTATACGACGATAATTTATCTGATCCTTCCACATATTTAAATATACCAAATACTTTCTCTCATTATATTCAATTTCGTTACTTATCTCAGTAGGAGTCACTATCTGCCCAGCCTCATTCATTTTTTCCATAAAATCCCACAATGTTATATTTTTATCTTCACCCATTGGCATTGCTCCACTAGCACTAGCTCCACATATTGCAGCTCCAATTACAACACTAGCCTCAACATATTTTGGCAGAACAACCAAACACTTAGTCGCATCGGCCATTGTCTTTACGAAAAGCTCATTTTTGCATAGTCCTCCAGACATGTACAAACACTTGATATTATGCCCCGAGTCATTCATGGCTTCAATAATATGACGTGTTCCATACCCAATAGATTGCAAGGTGGAATAATAAAGTACAGCAAGCGCATCAAGTGAGACATCAAGTGTCAATCCAACTATTGCTCCACATAGAGTTGGGTCCGACAATGGGCTACGATTCCCATGGAAATCAGGATATACATGAAGATCTTTAGTGAGTACTGAGGAGAATTGTAATTTCTGCTGTTTCTGTAAAGTATTTATGTGTTCATTTAACAGATTATAAATAGAAATGCCTTTCTTATTAGCCAACTTTTTAGCGTGAATACTAAACGGATGTGTATCAATAATCCAATCTATTAACTTTCCAGTAGCAGACTGCCCACCTTCATTTAACCAATGATTCCTTAGCAAAGCATCTTTATAGGGACCCCAGACTCCATCAACAAAAAGCGATCTATTTGTCATGAGAATGTGACAAGATGAAGTACCAGCAATCACAGCTAGTCTTTGTTCCATAAGCATATTACCATAGTCTCCTGGTATCTTTGCTGCTAAAGTCCCAACTATACCAGCATACGCATCAATTAAACCTGAGCTGACTGGAGTATCTTCAAGTAATCCAAGTTCATTAGCTGCTTGGTGACTCAGCCCTGCAACCTTTTGACCGGCAGAGAATATTTGAGAAGTGCTCATGCGGGAATAGTTTTCACTAATGAATTCCGAGAGTCCAATTGCCTGAAACAAGTCATCATGCCAGCCTTTTTGGGGCGATATAGAAGTATCTGGCGGAACATAACCACACTTGCATGCTAATGAACATACTGAACGGGATGCATTCCCAGTTGCACGATATGTTAAGAAATCTGCAAAAAATTAGAGTTATAAATAATATGACGATATATTTGCTTGCATGAAAATCCGAGATATTGCGATTGGTTATGAAAGTCACTATACCTGGCAAATCAAAAAAATACCCAACCTTATTCCATCTTTCCTGCAAATTTTCCTTTATCCATAAAATTTTGGGAAGGTCCATCTCAACACTAACTTTTCCGCCGACATATTTTAAAACTTCATGTCTAGTAGCGTTAATCTTATCGGTCTGCTCCCCTGCTCTATGATCTGCCCAAAGTATAATATTTCTATGGTTTTCGCCGTCACTACTTTCAGGATCAATGGATATTGGCTTCCCTGATCTATCCAATACCACTAATGAACAAGTTCCATCAAATCCAACTCCTTTGATGTTTGCTGGCTTAAGCCCTGACTGTGTCATTGCTGCTTTGACAGCTAGACAGACAGACGACCAAATATCTTCACTCGATTGCTCATAATAGTTAGCGTGAGGGTTCCATAACTGGATGTCATTAGTAGCGAGACCACAGATAGTTCCTAGAGAATTTATGATTACAGCTCTGGCCGAGCCTGTACCCACATCGATACCAAGGTAATAATAATGATCACTATCCATCATTTGAAATAACAGCTTATGCTCGTACTATTGTGGACCATTACAGCTTCACGTGACATTTTTTGTTGCACGCCGTATTTACGCTAAGCAAATCTGCTTGCTAAATTTAAACGCTTGCACTTGGGAAAATCGACTTTATTTGACTTCCAAGCGCACTTGAGTTGTCAAGCAGGTGGCGAAAGGTTCAGAGTCTTTTTTACAAGTATGTTGAATCTCATTACTTTATTTAGATCAAGTGAATGCTCTGTCAAATGATCAAGCCATATATAGTTAAAAAGGAACCTTCTTATCGGCGAACTCGTTGGTCGATCTCATTCAATAATTTACTTTTCCCAAACATAAAATTATGTATAAAGATGATGTGCTAACGCCCTTTTTATTTCAGTAATTAAGTTATTGTCCCTCTAATACTGTCTGTATGTATAATTCCTGGCTGGCTAAACTTACATGCATGAAAAAGCTAGAATACAATGGCTGATTAATTAAGATTTGATTGTTCCCTGACTTTCTATTAATTGTCTATAAATCCCCTCTTTCATCCGTCGGAATTCCTCCAACCTTCCAGTGGCATACTGCAGATAATCAAATTCTATCTCACTCTGATAGTGTTGGATAATTCCCCACAATCCCCACATTACGTGGCTTGCAAGGGAGAATACATTGCACTCTAATCTCCTTCGTGCCAATTCCACTTCCATTTCGTCGTTTTTCCTTGATCCCCTTTCGACCTCGAGGTAGGCGCGGATAAAATTATTCTGTTCGCAGGTTGTGGGGTAAAGATGAGTATGTATTTTGTGAGGTTCATCCGCGTGATAGTTGTATGTCCACTCGCAAAAGTGATTTGCGATATCGAACCCGCGGTAGTTATATCCACTATACTCGTAATCAACGATTACGAGTTCATCACTACCGTCCGTAAGACGGAGAAAATTTCCGTATTGTGTCTGTCACATGTTAAAGAAATCGAGACTTAGTATTAGCAAATATCGAGATAGAATATTCAAATATCGTATACAACAAAAGTAACTTACATCATTGTGAGCGAACACAATCGGGGAATCTAACACATCAACATAACGCATTAATTCATCGATCTCTCCTCTTAGCGCGTCCAAATTCAGCTTTTCCATACTCGCTGTCTTCTCTTTATCTTCAGTTGTTGTTAGCTTGACAGACATATCATACCACTTATTTATGTTCGCCCACACTTCAGGGATGACCTTCCCCGTTGAAAGTCTAGGAACCTTTAAATGAAGTTGGGCCATTAAACGACCAATTCGTCGCGAAATTTCCTGATTGCGTATATCTTCGTTTTTGAGAGTGGTGGACGGCAGAAATTGTTCTATTCTCCCATTCTGGAACAAAGCGAGGACGGAAGGTCCGATGTTGAACGAACCCAGC